GTGTGTGTGTGTGTGTGTGTGTGTGTGTGTGTGCATACAAGATCAAAGGAGGAGAGGTGTGGCTCTAAGATTCAAAAATTAGGTAAAGATTTTATGAACAAGAATCCATCTCTGTATTTAAGCTACACTGATCTCTGCTCCCTCAATATTAATAAAAAATTAGCGTTTTCTTGAATGATTGATCAAATATTTCTGTATAATTTTATAAGGATCATCTGATTTTTTATTTTTATTTTTTTTTTACAAATTGGGTCTTTATTTCCTGGACTTTCCAGATACCAAGTTAGAAAGTCAGAGATTCTTCAGCTGCTCCAACCTCACAATCCAATATGGCCGCCATGTGCATGAAAAGCTGTTATAGCAGCAGCGCAACAATATGTTTTTTTTAACAGTTTGCATCTTAAACATCACGCAAGAACATGAAGTTTCAGTCCACAGAATGCAGAAATATTTATCAATGCACACTACTGTGATTCGTTCCCCATCCAAGTCATCCTCTATTTCAGCACACTTCTCATCCTGCAGATTTTGTCCAAGTGCTGCCACTGTAATTTGTATCTGTAAAGCTCCTGTGCCAAATGTAGGCTATGTTTTTGGTGCCTGTACAACTTATAGTTTTGAAATATTAATTTTTAAACTTTATTAATGGGTGTCAATAGAGCCTTGTATTGGTCCAATACTGCCCCTGATTTATGTGCTCAGCTTGGTACTGCACCTAGTTTAATGATATTTAAACTCAGTACTTCAGTGATTACAATACTAATTTATTTGTATTTTAATGTTTTACTATAATATTGTCTTGTAAGCATTGAATATAATATTGCTTTATGTTGTAATATATTGCAGTTTTATGTCAATGATCGTCATTGGCAATGTTGCCTCTATCTACACAGAAAAAACACTGGGACTGTGCTTTCACACAGCTCCAATGGTCTCATGGTTAATGCCATGAACTTTCTTGTGGGAAATCAGGGTTCAAAACCCAGCTACCACAACTTTAACTAAAAGTCTCTTCAAACTTCATATTGTCACWCAATTACCCTGATTACGAACACCTGCTGACTTGACAAGCAAGCTGGTATAGAAATCACATTTGAACTTGCTCACAGCTCATTCTGCAAGTCCACTGCTGCAGGCAAAGGCATGATACAAGGCAATGCACACTTGTTTTTACGTCACAAAAATCCATGTCTGGTGAGCTTTAGCTGGATCACAGTAAGGTTCAGTCTAATGCTTGTCCAGAGGTACATGAAACGAAGCATAAACGCATGTCGACTCAAAAAGGAGATATTTAGATAACATCAATTTAAGAAAAAAAATCCACTTTCAAACCCAAAAACAGAGAGTAGTCCACATGCAGTGACTTGTGAATCAACTGAGGTGGCCAATCAGGTTCCAGGGCTAACAAGCTCCACCCACGGTCACTCCTCTGGCTCCGCCCCTGAACTTATTGCCGCTGACAGTTTAGAGTATTTCTTATTTCATGGCTGAGATGTTTTGTYCCTCCACAGACAAACACTGCATGTAGTCCATAATGAGTTTATTACTAACTTCAGTAAGGCGGTGTGTGTGAGTGTGTGTGTGTGTGTGTGTGTGTGTGTGTGTGTGTG